ATCTGAAATAATCACTCCCTGGAATGGGGGATTTTCTAGGTGGGCGGAGGCAGTGTACTTTGGTCGGAATGATCCGGGCGCTGCCGCTGCTACTGTAGAAGAAGGTGGAGGAATCGCTGCGCGACAGCTGGTTGATTCCCAATGTCGGGCAAAAAGTCGTCGTCCTCATCGTCTCTCCTGCCGCTCAGGAGCATCCTCCGCGAGTTTCAAGACATCAGAGATGGCATCGGCAGCCTCTCGAGGCGGAGCTTCGAGGTCCGGCTCCCCTACCACCACAGGTCGAGGTCGCACAGCGTGGTGCTGGACGAGCCGCCGGTGAGGGACGTGGTGGTGCTCCAGCAAAGCAGATGGGCGAGCATGCCCCCGGAGCTCCTGCGCGATGTGATCCAGCGGCTGGAGTCGAGCGAGCACACTTGGCCCGCCCGCAAGAACGTTGTGGTGTGCGCGGAGGTTTGCAGCCAGTGGAGAGACATCGCCAAGGAGCTCGTCAAGACGCCCGAGCAGTCGGGGAAGCTGACCTTCCCCATATCGCTCAAACAGGTGAGGTGGTGTTGTTTGGTCTTTTACTCTACGATTCTGATGGATTTATCTCGCTTTCTTTCTTTCTGTTTTTTCTTCACAGCCTGGGCCGCGTGATGCTACCATGCAGTGTTTCATCAAGCGAGACAGGGCAACGTCGACGTATCACTTGTGCTTGGGGCTTTCTCCCAGTAAGAAAAGTCAACTCTTTAATGTTTTTTTTTGCGGTTTCTTACGTACGGAAGACTTTGATGCAGGCTTGCAGGAGCACGGGAAGTTTCTCCTGGCAGCACGGAAGGTAAGGCGTGCGACAACCACCGATTACATTATTTCCCTCGATCCGGAAGATTTCTCGCGGGGAAGCACTTCATACGTTGGGAAATTACGGTAAAGTTTTCATTGTTTTTTGGATGTCATTGTGTCTGATCTTTGTGTCTGTGAACAGATCGAACTTTCTCGGTACCAAGTTTACGATTTATGATAGTCAACCTCCACACGTTGGCGCAATGCCTTCCAACAGCAGGGTTGGGAGACGCTTCGGCTCCAAACAGATATCTCCGCGCGTCCCCGCCGGGAGTTACAACGTGGCGCACATCGCCTACGAGCTAAACGTACTCGGGACGAGGGGGCCGAGGCGAATGCAAGTTACTATACACTCCATCCCGGCGTCGGCCATGGACCCAGGCGGCGTCGCCCCCACTCCAACGGTGTTTGCAAACCCGCTGGAAGACGCCCAGCTTCCGTTCCCGGTCTCCAAATCCAAGGTCTCGGACTGCAGCACAGCTCCAGTCGTGGTCCCTTTCAGCGGCGTGATGAGCAAAGACGGCCCGCTTGTGCTCAAGAACAAGGCCCCCAGGTGGCACGATCAACTCCAGTGCTGGTGTCTCAATTTCCGGGGCCGTGTTACAGTGGCCTCTGTGAAGAACTTCCAGCTGGTGGCCGCTCTGGAGCCGGGGCAACAGGCTCACGCGGACCATGACAAGGTCCTCCTACAGTTTGGGAAGATTGGAAAGGATATGTTCACCATGGACTACAGGTATCCGCTGTCGGCTTTCCAGGCATTCGGGATTTGCCTCAGCAGCTTTGACACGAAGCTGGCCTGCGAGTGATTCTTGGTAGCGGTGGGTGGTGCCGCTGGTGATGGTCTCTTACGAAAATAAGAGAAGGTTTGGAGGGGCGTTTGATTCGTCGCTGGGGATTGATACAAAGCAGGGAACGGGAAGATTGGTTGAGGTACCTACGTAAAAGCTTCAGAGAGCTCAAGGATTGCTTTTACAGGTTGAAGAAGCTGCGAAAAGTGTTGGGTGGTCCGACTGGTAGGTGATGTTCGTTCGTTCTTTCGAAGATTTGGATTTCCAGCTTCTTTTGCGAAGGAAAAGAGAAGAAAAAACGAAAGAAAAAAAGAGCTCGCTCGTAGACTTTGGGAGTTAAGAACCTTGAGAAATTTTTTCCGAGGGTGGGGAAGTTCTAAAAGTTAATATAATGTACAATATTTTTTTAAAGGTGGGAAAAGTGCCTGCTTGGGACAGGAGTCGAACAGCCGACCCCCGTGTCGGGAATATGCTCTGGGGTAAAGTGAAAGGTAAAGGGTGAAATGTAAATAAAGGGGGGGTAAGGTAAGCGCATTTTCCACGTGCTGTTTAGTGAACCTCGTGGTTTTTAAAACTTTCCCTCCGTGGAGTGGAATAGCGGCTAGGTCGTGATTCCTCGTCTCCCGTCCGGAAGAAGGACGGTAGAAATAGCCAAGGGGTTTAGTTGTATAAGCAAGCTTGGATTAGGGATCTTGGCTGGTCCTAGTAGTGTGGGCGGTGGAGTAGTCGTGGAAACAGGCTAGCAAGCGTGTGGAAGGAAGCGTGCAGCTTCGAAAAAAGAGGCGCTCTTCTTTCTCCTCCTTTTCTTGTGTGCTCCTCTTCTCGATTTAAGGCCCGTCGACCAGCGCCAGAGGGCTAGAGCGAGTTCTTGGCTGGGATCTTTGTGTGATTCTTGACGATCTTGGGAGGAATCGCGGCTTTTCTTGGCGATCTTGAGAGGAATCGCGGCTTCTTGGCGATCTTGATCGCTGCATTTGAGAGATCGAGGGGGCTTGTGCGATATTTCGGGCGCCGATGTGCTGGTGGGACGTCTAGAGCGCGTGTTTCTGGTCTATTGTCCGAGGTAGCTTGGCAGTCGATCGCGCAATGGCGGCGGGACACAACGAGACGGACCTCGTCCGCACGCTCAAGCAGATCATCGAGCTGCGGGGCTTGAAGCAGCAGAGGCGATCGTCGGCTGCCGCGGACACCGTGACGCTGTTTGGAAAGAAGCTCTCGGTCGGTGGCGGCGGCGGCGGTTCTTCCTTGGAGGAATCCTCCACCGACAAGATACAACTCTCCGAGAAGCTTCCGCCCAGTGCCATCGTGCATCTCAAGGAGCTTTATGAGCAGCGTCTCAAGCGAAAAGGTAGGAAGCGTGAAATATCAAAAGAGAGAGAGAGAGAGAGAGAGAGTTCCATTCCATCTATCATTCTTTGCTGATTTGTTCTTTGGTCTCAATGCAGCCGCGCCGTGTCACAGCGCGCGCTCCGCCGAAAATGGGGACGCGTTGACGCTGCCTTTGTTGGGCTCGATCCAGGACGTCGGTATCAAGCGACAGCGGATTGGTGTCCAGGCAGCAGCAGCGACCGACGACGTGAGGCCCATCTTTTACGAAATCCAGAGCGATCTCGCCGCGGAAAAAGAGAGGTAAGATCGATCAAGAGAGTTTTAGAGACCACCACTCACATCTTCCCTTTGGATCTTTTGTTCTTCTTTGCAGAGCCGAGGTGGCAAAAGGGGCTCCTCTCACACTCTTTTACAATGGGATGGTCTATGTCTTTGACGACGTCACGGACGATATGGCCCAGGCGATTATGATCTTGGCAGGAAATGCGACGTGCTCGTCGGCCTCCCACACCGAAAAGTTCCTCGCGAGCGCCGGAAAGGACGCCAAGCCCGCTGTCTCCATACCTTCCTTTACTCGTAAGTTTTGGATTCTTCGTTTCATTGGCTGTCGTTCTTACTGGGCCGTGGTGTTTTTACAGTGGCGGATCTTCCACAGGCGAGGAAGGCTTCTCTTCACAGATTCCTCGAGAAGCGAAAGGACAGGTATGTGAGTAGACAACTTGGATTCGCACAGATCTAGTGCTGAGTGTTTTCTGTTTTTTTTCTTGGGATCCTCAGACTCTTTGCGAAGTCTGACAAGGAGAGCGTCTCGTCTTCCAAGCCCAAAACTCCGCCCCGTTCGCCACCGAGGAAGCAGCACCAGCTTCGTCGGGAGATGATTCAACCGCCGTCTTTTCTCCAAATCTACTAAAAAATCGAGGCCAAGCTCTCGATCGATTGATCGATCGACCATCACAGACAATTTTGATTCGTTCTTTTTCTGTTCTTTTCTCTTCTTCTGTTTGACACTTGTGATTGTGAATATGACCAAAACATACGCTTAGCATACGCAATTCTTTCATGGAATAAAGAAAAGATGGTCGAAACCAATAAACACACGCTTAGCATACGCAATTTTTTCATGGAATAAAGAAAAGATGGTCGAAGCCAATAAATACACTCTTGACACTGAAATAAAATGTCTCTTCTCTAAAGAGAACGGCGACAGTGAAACACTTCCACGTTTGTTTCTGTAAACTAAAGGGGCCTTGGAACAAACGCGCCACCGCTTTTTAGCGTGTCACGGACGCTCCAAAAAACGTGTTTCAAGTCTTGTGCCGGCCATTATCATCGAGAAATCCGAAAGATGATGCGCACGAAATCACAATCACTCGAGTAAGGACTTGACCCCCACCGAGCGACCATCATCATCGTCACTGTCTCCTTCGCGCCGAGAAGAAACTCGCGCTCCCAGTTTTTCCTGTTCGCTTTCCGGAAAGGAGCAAACGATCACATACGCAAATTGACCAACTGCAAGGTTGCGATCCGGATTACGCTACCTTTGGAGCTGCTGCCTCGAATGTTCCTGGGAATGTGATCGCTGGGCTTCTATCGCGAGTTTGTCAACCAAGTTGTTCTCGAGAAGTTTTGTCTCGGCTGCAACTCTGATCTCGTGCTGGCTCGCAGTGAAAAGAGGTAAAGAAAGAACAAAGGGAGGTTACAAAGTCAAGAAAGCGTGCCTCCGAGGAAGGAAAATGAGTGCCTCTCGGAGGCTGGCGAGTTGGTATCCCCCTGGTTGATGCACAGCAGCGACAAACATAAACTTCTCAAAGAGAGAAGAAACGCCTCGCGCTTTGCGGCGATTATTTGCGATTTCTCACGAGCTGGCATCGTGGCGAAAATCTCGGCAATGGCGACCTGTGCACCGCCCGACTGACCACCTGCAATGTGAAAAACGCCGCAAAGTTTAGTGGCAGTTAGGAGGGAATAGTGTAAACAAAGCGAGCCCACGTTTTGTTTGCCTGCGTCTTATCTTTGCTTACCGTAGAAATCCAGCAAGGAGTAGTACCACGACGTCGAGACTGAACAGAGAGAGACACTTTAGCTTTAAAGGTGGAAAGAGAATCACTCAAATCCAGCTTTGAAGAGTCCTGCTCTTCCAACATAGCGTGAGGGAGAAAGAGATGCGAGAAAACGATGGCAAACTAAATTATAACGAGCGCGAGAGATCCGTCACCGAACGTTTCAAGCCTAGCCGAAAGGAGTTTTTAAGTATAAGTGGCGTGTGACCGAGTGTGGATGATCCCGTGGAGATAGCCACCGGTCATGATAAATGAGAGTAGCGCGACGATCCCAGCGGGGAAAAGCTTGCCAGTTTTCTGGAAGCGGTTGCCCATGGCAACTAGAAGAAGAGCTGAAACTCCTGGGATGAAAACCAAAAAAAAGAAAAAAGCAACCATTGTCAAGTCAGAGGGAGGAGCAGAAGTGCTCGAGTCAGTCAGTCACACATCCACATCCAACAGGAATTTGGAATCGCCAGCGATGCTACTCAAGCTGCGAAATCATCGGAAGTCTTAAGAACAGTATCAAAGAAAAAGTCAGTCGTCTCACACAATGATCTCACAAAATCGTGGCGAGCGAGTGACGAGCACGAAGATTCAAACAAGAAATCTATACCTTTCAGCCAAACCAGGTAAGCAAGGATGACAAAACAAAACCAGCTTTCGAAGTCGAAGCCCAAGTCTTCCATGGAACAGAAAGTGGAGAGAATAATAGCCAGGAAATCACGAGAGTTCTTCGATCTTCTTACCAAGTCCGAGCGACGAAGCCACCACTGGATTCACAGGCAGCTGCGTGTGTACATACACCAAGAGACAAGACGAGACTATTCCAGACACCAAGGACATGGCGCTCCTCCTCTTCAAATAGCCGATAATGCCGCCCACTGCGCGAAACAAGAAGAAAAACCGATCAAATGCCGACGCGATCGACCGATCCATCCCTCGATCGCTTGCCTACCTCCAACGATTGCCGCATAGGCGAGCGTGAGCCTCTGGGATAACAGCATCAGGAATTTAGGGTTTATGGGCGAGAAGAAATTAGGGCTTTAAGGGTTCTAGGTTTCTGGTTTCTTTGCGGCGGCGCGTCATGAAGGTAGTCGCGGCGTACCTCCTGGCGATGCTCGCTGGAAACGGCGCGCCATCGCCCGACGATGTCAAGGGAATCCTCGCCTCAGGTACGAGATCTGGAGATCGATCGAGTTTGTTGTGTTTAGAGACGCGAAAATCCCTCTTTCAGTGGGCGCGGATGTGGAGGAGGATAGGCTCGACCTGTTCTACAAGCTGGTGGAGGGCAAGGACGTGAACGAGCTGCTCCAGCTGGGGAGCCAGAAATTTGCTTCCGGGGGTGGAGGCGGTGGCGGAGCAGTGATGGCCGCCGGTGGGGGAGGTGGCGGTGCCGCAGCGACTGGTGGCGCTGCTCCAGCTGCCGAGGAAGAGAAGAAAGAAGAGAAGAAGGAAGAAAAGGAAGAATCGGACGATGTAAGTGCTTTCCTTTTTGTTTGTGTGTTCGGTCACTTATTATTCTTTTTCTTACTGCAGGACATGGGATTCAGCTTGTTCGACTGAGAAAGCCTTTTTTGTATACTTCCTAGATGGAAAATTCGAAGCTCTTAAGTTTTACTACTTCTACAGCTAGCGATAAGTTCTATGGACTGCTTGGCTGGGATGATAGAGCTTGTATGAGTGCCTGTTTTTTCTGGGGAGGGCTTGGATGTGAGCCTGGAAAAGGAATTCTGCTACACAATAGTGTGAAGGATTCAAAGAGTGTTAAATTATAGGGCCTTTGAGGAGAAGAAGTTAGACTAGATGGTTAGGCCACATCGTTCATTGAGTGTGAAAAAGTATGGAGTGTTTGTTCTTTGAGATCACGTTTTAAGTCTGGTTTACTGTGGAGTGATTTAGATCACTAGTATTAGGTGGGATTCCATTGCCAATATTATGCTAGAAATAAATCATTAGAATTTATGTAATTTTCTTGATAATATAAGACACTCATGCTTCAATATCCTTTTGGAATATACAATTTTATATTTGAAATTTGATTACTGCAAACTTCATACCAAAGTGAATGTGATAATTTCTCATATCTATATTAAATTAGAAATTGCCCAGCATAAGTTGAGAGTTTGAAACAGGTTTGAGTTGAGGAGTTAGTTTTTGTTAAGATGAAGATTTGCATATGATAACTAGCATTTAATGTATGTAATCATGAAATAAGATTTGGATATATTATTATGATGGATTTTTGAAAAACTTTAGGGGATCAATAAAGATAAAATAATCATAAGGAAGTAATTACCCCTTTCCAATTAACTTAAGGACAAATAGGGTGAACTTGAATTCTTTTTTGCCACTTTCCTAATGAAGCAATCTTTAAAAGTTTCAGATTTTCCTATAAGCAAACCTCTAATAAGTACATGAATACTTGGAGAGTAAAACAATTAATGATGATGCAACTTTGATACAAAAAAACATCATAAACCAGCCTATTCTACAAAATCTTTGATGCTCAAGTTCTTTTCCCAGCCTATGCTATAAAATCTTTGATGCTCCTCCACCACCTTTCTTGCAGTATCTTGATCTTTTGCCATGGTAGGTAGGCACAAGATTGAGGAATTTATTTAGCAAGCCATGGAAGAATCAACCTAAAATTGTTGAAAGGAGAATAGAAGTAAAGATCATGTAAATTATATCCCTTGAAAAGATTATGTTTGCTTCTGCATAAACAACTTAATCTCATAAACAAAATGAAAATACATTTGTACAAACATGTCTTGGTTGCAGTCCAAATTGTTGTGAAACTCAACATGAATTTATATGTCATTACAAGGTCCACAAACAAGGATTGCTAATGAAAATGAAAAACACTATTATGAAACACAAATCCCTAAGCCTCTAAAGTGGAATTGAAAGTGTGCCACATAGCAGTGATTAAAGCAAGAGTTTAACAAGCATAACATGTTAGACCAAAAGCTTCAACTTGAAAAGTAAAAAATGGGAGTGGAATTCCCAATGAAGTGTTCAAAGAACAACATGAAGCAATCAATGAATAAGTCTCTAGAAAGGGATACAAGAAGGACTAACACATAACAAGTGTCAAGATTGAGTCTAAGAAGGAGTCTAAGATAGAGTTTGAGAAAGAGTTTGAGATAGAATCTTAAATGGAGTCCGAAATGGATTTGAAGTGGAATCCAAGATGGAGATTGAGATAGAGTTTGAGATGGAGTCCAAGATGAAGTCTAAAATGGAGTTTGAGATAGAGTCCGGATGGAGTTCAAGATTGCATCCGAGACCGAGACCAAAATTAAGACAAAGACTAAACCTAAGACCGAGATTACATCCAAGTCTAAGTCTAAGTCTAAGACCAAGTTGTAGCGCACGTGGTTTTGACCCTTTATCCTATGGTGATTTACCATAGGATAACACCACGAAGCGGAACCTAAACACTCTTTGTGCCACGTGTCACATGCCACGTGTCCACAGGAACCTGAGGTTCAGGGCCTTGGGCCACTGAACGAAGGAACGGTGCCAAACTCCCAAGCATGGAGCCGAGGAGTGACAGAACCGAACCACGGAGCAACTCCCGAGCATAAAGCCCAAGGAGCGTAGGGACAGGAGCCCGGAGCGACTTGGAACAGTCCTGGAGCAACCAGCATCCCAATGCCAAGACCAGCACACAAAACGGAGCCAAACGGAGTCTAGCGCTATTTCGGCATACCGGTGGCCTAACGTGAGGATATGGGTACTCCACCAACTAGCATGGAATGGAACTTGGGCTTAGACCCAAGCCGGACGCAGAACAAGGACAGGCACGCAAGCGGGAGCTAGACTATGCCTTAGGTTGGTCGGCCATGCCCAACCTACCCACTATCCCTATTATACATTTGGAACCCCCCACAGCCCCCCCCCCCTTGAGGAACACACGCTTTGGGCTTTCACCCCAAGCCTCCTTTAGTATCAGGAGTTAGTCTCTGGGACAAGCTCGAAACTTACTAAATATGGAATGTCCCTAGATTGCGAATTTGGGCACGGGACGAACACCATTGTGTTCAGGACAATCTCTACATTCCGTAGATATGCCAAACGAGCAAATCTGGACACTTTCCATAAATAGCATTTGGGACCGAAATGAGACCAACACAAAGGGCATGATAGCGAGGGTGTTTGGCAGACACGGTAAGCTATCATCTAGCAATATTGAGGGACCAATCTCAATATTGCGGGGGTTCCCAACACTAGCAAGTGCAAGTCAACGAATGAGTTTCTCTAACCAGGTCAAGTATGTTTGACTAAATAGACACTTAGGAATTCCTTCCTTATGCTCATCTGGTCAAGTGCACACGCGAAGACCAGTTTCTCAACTAGCTTAGGTGGAGACTGATAATGGGCTCAGCAATACCGACCTCCTGCCATTGTGGCAGTAAGGTAAGAGTGTCCGTAAGGACTAGCCGACAGGTAACTTTCGATACCTGAAGTCACATGCGCGACACTCTCCCCCGCTAGGGAAGATCGACGTCCTCGTCGATGCATACTCGAGTCTAGAATACCGCCAAGGAAACAACTCCAGAAAAAGTTCACGGTACTCACACTATGTGAGAAATGCACCAACTTAAATGAGTTAGGAGGCAACCTCTTTGTCTAACGCGGATGCGCTACTAGCTCAGACACCTTCTGGCCGTCGCCGACAAGGAAATGACCAACGGAGTCAACCACCCCTGCTGCTCTGGGTGTCACCCAACTACAAAAGTGTGATATGCCCCTGCCCGCAAGGACATAGAGAGAGAAGCCAGAGGCCCCAACCCTCCTAAGCAAAGAAACCAAACCCGTCGGTAAGGTTTAGATAGACTACTGTAAACAGGCAGTGAGAGTTGTTTACACGGTCACGCCCTTTCAACGGAATAAGGAACATCAACAAAGAGGCGGGTTATGTGACCAGTCGACAGTAGCTACCCCATGACTAAAGATTTCAACATGCACACAAAGTGCCAAAGCCAATCTGCCTATTACTGGCCCAAACTTCAAAGATCAATAGATGAACAATATCAAAGTCAGAAACAATGATATCTTAGAGTCTTAATTATCAGTGAGTATATCTTATATTAGGACACAAAAGTATTCCAAGCAAGTTATCATCTGATAAACTAGTATTATAGGATAGGAACCACCAAGATCATCATAAGTGGTAAACACAGGATGCACCATCCAACAAAATTCAATAGCAAGTATATCATTAAGGAAATTCAATGATGAAATTTAACTACCGAAGATAGCAGACAGTAAGATAACAACTTTCAAGAGATAACTCAAAGAACACAAAGTATCATTGACTAACAAGCACAATGCTTGCGAATGTATCACCCAAAGGTAATAACATCCCAATCTATCAGAACTAACTCAAGCAATGATCAACAGAACAGAATGAATATGGTAAAACCAACAAACACTCGTTCATGCCAATTATCGCAAAAGCCAATCTAAATAGATCCCGGTCAACAATACTAAAGAACTGAAGTTGCCTAAGCAAGTGTCAGCAACATCCTACTGATGTCTCAAACCCAAGAGACCAATCCAAAGCAAATCACAAAGAACATGTGATATTGCGAAAAGCCACAAGCCATCAAAGAGAACAACTAACCACCATAAAAGATCATCAATCATCCTATCAATAGAGAAATGCATAATCATCATCGAAGAAAGAATCTACTATCCCGAAGAACAGCAAATCATTCTATACCAACAATAATCAAGCAAAACTCTTGACAAGGATAATCAACTATCTTAGATGATAGTCAATCATCACCAATGATTGCTAGATGCAAAGACTAACGTCAACATCGAAGCTAATGAGCCAAAATGCCTTCCCCCAACAACTCCTAACAAATGGAACAATGAGCATGAAAACTCAAATAACCAAAAGCTCGAAGAAGTCTATAGCCAAGTCTTGCCTAATAATGATCACGAGTCTCGCATGGACTAACGTCAATGCTAAAGAAGAAATCATGGTACAACCCACAATATCCTCCTCAACACATCTATAATCTAAACTTCATAATGCAAAGCTAATGAAGAGCATGTCTGCATCAATCCAAAAGCTAAGCATAACAAAGCTATGCTCAACAAGTGATCATCAAACGATCCTCCATGAATCCATCTATAGCAAGATGTAACTCACATCATAACAAGCACAAGAAGAATCATCAATGATCGATATATTTCAACTCAAATCCAATAAGGATTCAAATATTCCAATATTGATCACTAACTCTCCCACTTGTAGAGTTAGTATAGTCCATGACTAAATCACTTTTCAAGGAAAAGCTCAAATCTCAACCCCTACTAAATAATCTCGTCTAGAACACAACTAACTCAAACTTGCCACTCAGTTCATGTGAACGTCAAGACAGTTGCTAACTAGTAAATGCACGAATGCCAATAACACAAAGTCATAGCCAAATCATCAACACTATTTTCATCGAGACTAATGACACTCAATATCAATTCTATGGAGAGACATCTCATTTCACTGAAATCTCAACATCAACAATGTCAACGACAAGGCATCACTTTAGTGCTACCAACACTAGAACAAAGCTAGAAGAAAGCACGAGTGTATCACCACCCAAAGCT